CCTGGAATACTGTATCCATGCCTGGGATCTTCAGCAGAAGAATGACACAGAGCTATTAGAATGGATCCAGAGGAGGGCCACAAAGATAATCAGAGGGCTGGAACATCTCCCTCATGAAGAAAGGTTGAATGAGTTGGCCTTGCTTATCTTGCGGAAAAGAAGGCTCCAGAGAGACCTCATTCCAGGAACCAGAGAGAGCTTATAAGCAGCAGGGAGATGGATTTTTACCTAATAGTGATAGCTCAAAGAAAAATAGCTTTAAAGTAAAAAAAGAAAGATCTAGTTTAGATATTAGGGGGAAATTCTTCACTCAGAAGGTGGTGGGAAACAGGCTGCCCAGAGAAGTTGTGAATGCCTCATCCCTGGAGACATTCAAAGTTAGATTGGGTGGAGTCCTAGGCAACCTGACCTAGTGGTCAGCAAATCTTCCCATAGGATGTTAAAGTCCCTTCCAACCTAAACCATTCTATGTTTTACTAAATGTGCCACTTAAATGAAAGAATGATGACTATTTTGAAAGATAAGGCAAATTCTAATACCAGATACTGGCAGAAGTACATCAGAACAATGAATAAAACAGCTCAGGCCCTAATCTTTAATGAAGACACTCATCATTCTCTGAATCTGTCTATTTTTCTCTGGCTTTGAAGAAGTAGAGGGGGTAGTGTGGGTGTCTGATTGCAGGACTGCAATCTAGAGTCACAAGTCTAAAATGGTCATTCAGTGTGAATGCTGACAAATTACAAAACTTGATTTTATTCTATGAACCACTAAGCTTGTGGCTCAAATTCTTTTATGCTTTCCCCTTAACATGTTCAAATAACAACTAGAAGCATCAGTTTCATTAACACTGAACAAATATATATATATTAGATGCAGTGAACTGTGTTTTCAAACAGTAGTGCCTAACTTTCTTCTGATCACTATTATGCAACTTCCTTCAAAAAAGATGTCTCTTACTACTTATAATACTTAGGTTGCTTAGCAAATGGTAAAGTTTGATTTTTAGAGACTTATTCATTGAGTACTGTCCTTACCAAGAAAAACATCTTTCACACAAAGTAGGAACAGACTTTGCTTTATGTGCCAACAACTATGCCATGATCAGCCCACTCAGAGGTTCAGAATTGAAACTGCAAGGAAGTCTGCCTATGTTTTTGTTAACTTGCTACATTTGCAGTCTGCAACTTCCACTTTGTTTTGGCATACGAAGGCATCCAAAGTTTAACCACAGAAATTCTGGTATTGTATTCTATCTGGATGTCATAAAAAGGTCAAATAAAGGCAGTAAGGGAAGAGAGGCATGTCCTTTGCCTACTTAGCACATCCAAAGCACTCTCTAGTAATGTGAAGGTATAATTTGATTAGTCTTCTCACAGTGGTCAGCCTAGGAGATGCAACAAATAACAGCAGTCTAGGCAAATATGCATACATTTTCTGTCGATAGACAGGAACATCATGCTGTATTTGCAAAGGGCTACTTAGTTTGCCATAACTGCAACTGGGAAACTTCTATATCCACTTAACTGGGACAATATGGCATCCAAAGAAAAGTCAGCTACTACCTTTTGATCAAATTATCATTAGTTATCCCATGAAGTAAAATTTACTTGGGACCAGTGTTCTTCAACATCTTTATCAGTAATACAGACAGCATTTCCTCTGAAGAATAGACTTTGCAGCCATAGAAATCATGTATAAGGCCACCGTGGAGAAAAAATAGTGTCTTCCAGAGGCAGAAAAGAAGAAAAAATAAATAAACAAACAAAAAACAACAACAACAAAAAAACCAACCAATAACATTTAACTAAGGAAATGCCATACTTATCATGGGAACATATTTTTTCCTTAAAACAGAAAGTATTAGGTCACAGAACAATCTTGCTGGGTAAATGGCAGAAGTCTATTCTCTTTTGACTTGTAGAAAAAGCCAAAGACTAGGAGAAATTGTAGAGATTCAGTGTACACGAGCAGAAAGGCTAGATAATTTAAACAGCCTTTTCCACACTTTAATTTCATGATTTAGTAGTTCTGAGATTTATTTAGTCTTTTCTAGTGCATAACACAGAAAACTAACTCATAACAAATAAAAAATATTTGTAACTTGGGTAAAACTGAAATATTTAGAAAGATTTTTACAACTAAATCAAAACAATGCTGTTAATACTCACCGTTAGTTACTGTGCATAACAAGACAAATACTTTGTAACCACATAGAAGCTCATACAAAAAAGCTGTCTTTCAATGTCTATCACCATCATGAAGAACATGGAACAATATATCAATCCTCTGGAATCATCTTCTAACTCACATATTGTATTTTGCTACCTAGCCTTATAGACTTTTTCTTTGTGCAAAATTCAAGCCCAAACTCACGCCTAAAACACATCCTTCTAATACGCATACAGTTAACACTGATTGCACGCCAATGTCATAGTATATACATAAAGAAAGTGATTACTCTATTGGAACTGCAACATAAAGATGGTATATTTGTGAAGAATCATGAACAGTAAATGTTTATCAGTAGGCTACATGTCAATAAATAATTTAATACCAATTGTATTCACTGTTGAACAAAACATATGCATACAATTTTTATAACTGAAGTTTTTTTAAAATCAGTAGAAAAGGCACAATCTGACTCATACAGACTGAGAAACAAGTCTAAATGAAATCCAGAAAATGTTGCCATTACTTGTGCCAAAAAGATTATTTTTTGGCCTTCTACAATATTAGAACATGCTGATGCATGACTGAGACAAAGGGTTGCTCCAGGCAATACGTGGAACACCACTAGTCAGTATTTTAAAGACAGTTGCACCTTATTAATATTTCCTTGATCAAATTACTTCAAGGTCTTTCAATTCTTTGGGCAAGGTTTCCATATCTCATATATACAATGAAGATCCCTTCTTGGAATGATGATTCAGTGTTTCCTTTTATTTTAACATGCCACATAAACCTAATATTCAGCCCGTTATCAACTTCTATTAACACAGTATGCCTTTTCTCCCCCAGATTACCTTTTCTCCAAGAATTTGAAACATTTGCATAATCTAAGTCTAGTATTTCGAGTTCGCAAGTTATGTGTATTTTATATCCTGAATTTAACAATATATTTTTGAATTCCAGCCCTACAATCTGAAGTATTCACAAGATTCTCTTTGCTGCAAGTAGCTCTGAATAACTACTGCAAACAAAATAAATGTATTTCTTATTTCTTCATACTATAAATAAAATAAAATAAAAATAAAATAAATTAAAATTAAAATTAAAAATAAAAATAAAAATAAAATTAAAATTAAAAATAAAAATAAAAATAAAATTAAAATTAAAATTAAAATTAAAATTAAAAATTAAATTAAAATTAAAAATTAAATTAAAATTAAAAATTAAATTAAAATTAAAA